TCTCTCCTGACTATCTATTATTAAAAAAATTATATTGTATTAGCTTAAAAACAATATATTTTACAAACCCATATATATTTTCTTTTATTTGTGGTCCAAAAAGTTTTTATCATTTATTTGTAACCTAAAAATTCATTAATTTATTTCTATTTAAATATTTGTAACCCTATAAATTTAATATCCTAAAATTAAAATGTGGCCCATAAAATAATAATTTTTTTGGTGGCTTTAAGCGGTGGTCTAGCCCGCCTAGCCTCTGGACCGGCCCTGGTTAGAACTTAGGAATGACGTGTTTATATATTTCAAAATTATCCCTAAATATATTACAAATTTAAATCTTGATATCTGATTCTGTTGAGAGAGAAATTGTCCACAAATCTTCATCTTGTCTTGTCCAGTGAAGCATTGTATGGTGATCGAATGAAAGTCTGCAACTACCCTTCATCATAATTTTTCAACTTGGTAACTTCTTTAACCAAATATTTATCCACCAGAAACTTTGAATTTAATCATATTTATATTACCAAATGAGACTCACAGCAAAGAAATTATAATAAGGCCAAACATTAATCTACACCATAATATCGGAGAAACTAAGAAAGAAATAAAGAGATTGATCCTCTAAACATGAAAATATTATGGAAAAGCACTTTAAACCATAATTTTCGAGAATACTACACATTCTGTGGAGGAGGTCATTGCAAAATCTATTAGAGATGCAAAGATGTGACAAGAGGCGCAAGAGAGTCTACCGCAAAGACAACCACCAGTATGTGCTCAACAACCAGAGATTGACACACTACAGGCCATGTATGTTACACTGATGCAGCATGGGATAAAGACTCGTCAAAAGGTGGTTTAGGTTGGTGGTTTCGAGTTGAATCAGATTCTAATGTTTTTGAATTTTCAGCACCACTTGCATTTGCACAGTCAGAGCCTTAGAAGCTGAGACATGGGCCGTTGTCAAGGCTCTGCAAATGGCTAAAGATAAGGGATTTGATGAGCTCTTTGTATGTTCAGATTCTCATGTTTTAACTAATCTACTTCGCAAGAAAAAATCACATACGGAGGTTTGTTAGCTTCGAATTTCAGAAAGCTTTCCTTTTCTTTTGTTCCACAAGATGTTAATATGTTGGCTGATTCGTTATCCAAACAAGCTCTTTTGGTTTGTAATTTGTCGACGGTTTCGACGTTAATTTAATAATAATGATTGCATGTTTTGACAAAAAAAAAATCCTAATTGTGTATTTTTAAATTATTCTTAGTTGCTTAAGACCTGACAATTAATTCGGCTATGGTTTCTTTAGATTTTCTCACCAACTTGTCAAAACACAATAGCATCTATTGTAATTAAGGGTGTGATTTCTACAACCTCTTAAAACTTTTTTACACTATTTGCTTACTATTTAGACTTTAAAATTTTTACAGAAACTAATCTACAATACACCCACACCAATCATCGCATAATTTTGTTTGAATAATATTTTTAGATTCATTCAAAAAAATTAAAACCTGATAATGTACTGTAATAGAGCTTTTTTTTAAGCGAGTAGAAAAAAAATACTATGAGCCGAAAGCGTTGTAGTACATCTTATTTTAGGATTAAAATATTTTTCCATTCTTATTTCTGTATGTATAGGATTTTGTGACTTTTATATATGGAACATTAGGGTTTGTAAATATTATGCACTTAGCTAATACAAAAGTGACAATTACCCAAAATGACTCAAAACTATAAAAAAATAACTAGACTAACCCACCTAAAAAAAATTTTACTAGTTTAACTCACATTTTAAGTAAAAAGACCTCTCACCATATAAACTTTATCATATTATCCAAAATGCCATTTAGTTTTTTTTTTTACCCTAAAAATTAAACACACCCTAAAATTGGAGGTTCATAATTTTGGGTTCTGAAAACGAAGGCCACGGCGATTTCAACGAAGCCAAAGCCAAAACCCCCAAAATTCGAATACCCCTTTTGCTTTACGT